CTCGCAGTAATGCGCACTACCCCGACAGTTGACCCTCCGCCGTCAGCAGGTTGCCCAGCCCGAACAGCAGTGCCAGCCGGTCCGCGTTCTTCGCCAGACCCCGGTAGCGTACCTTGGCGTACCCGAACAGCCGCTTCAGCCTCAGAAAGGGATGCTCTACCTTGGCTCTCACTGACGCTTTCACCTTCTCCGCCAGTGCCTCCCTGCTCCCGGGCTCCAGCTCTCGCCGGTTCCCCGGACGCATTGCCACCCGCCATTCCACCCCCAGCCCCAGGTTCTCCGCTCTCTTCCCCACTCCCTGATACCCGGCGTCGCCCCACACCACCGTCTCGCCGCCGTGCAGCAGATTGTGCGTCTCGGTGACATCATGCACGTTAGCCGCCGTCGCGCTCATGCTGTGGACTATGCCCGTATCGGCGTCTACCCCGATGTGCGCCTTCATCCCGAAGTGCCACTGGTTGCCCCTTCTTGGCCTGGTGCATCTCCGGGTCCCGCTCCCCAGCCCGGTTCTTGGTGGAGGACGGCGCCTCGATGATGGTGGCGTCCACGATGGTTCCCTCCCGCAGCTTCAGTCCCTGGGACTCCAGGTGGGCGTTGATCTCATCCAAAAGACCCTGCCCCAGCTTGTGTTTCTCCAGGAGGTGGCGGAAGTTGAGGATGGTGGTCTCGTCGGGCAGGGGGCCCGAGAGCTTCAGCCCCACGAACCGCCGCACCGGGTCGGACTCGTAGAGCAGGTCCTCCATGCCCGGGTCGCTCAAATTGTAGAAAAGCTGGACACAGTGAGTTCTCAGCATGACGACAGCGGGTAGGGGTGGCGTCCCCGCCCAGGCCTTTGGGTAGAAGGGACGGATGCGGTCCTCCAACAACTGCCAGGGAATCAGGCCGTCCATCCGCTCCAGGAACACCTCCCGGCGGGTCTTGCGCTTCTTACCCTAGTATTCCAGAGCCTGCCCTCGGCCACGACCGGGGGTCGGAAAAAGTCGGCTGGTCCATACAACCTCATCCCCGGTCAGCATCGGGCTCTTCAGCCTTACTATGCCACATCACCACTGACTTGTTCAGAGGATTCTAGTATTACAACGACGCATTGCCGAATAATAAGGCTGGCGGTTCTTGAACAGCTACAAATCAGCGACCATGGGATGATCACAGTGACGCTGTGCCAGGTTCAATTTCCTGGCAGGAAACGCCTCGCCAATTAATCTGTCGTTGTAATACTAGAAGTCTGGCCGGGAACCCCAATTCTCCCCAACCCGCCGTTTTCTTAACGTCGATTGTCGATGTAACAGTGGGTTCTTGACACGTATTATATACATTACCATGCCGTATAAGACTGGAATACGTCTGCTGGGCGTAGCGCGAAATCCGGCCAATGGCTTTTCGGCCAGACTTCTAGGTGTGACTTCCGTGTGGGTATCTCAGCTAATGGGTCCAGCAATTTTGCCCGATTCATGCAACGTCGGTCGAGGCTGAAGAAAAACAAATGGGGCTACGGTTAATTCGTAGCCCCAGAGGTCCTGAATCTATTGAAATCGGTACCGGCCTGTTTCCAGTTACAGTGCCGGCCCCTGGTCCTATTTAAATGCCGGTATAACGTGCTTGCCGAAGAGTTCGATGGACTTCATTACGTGCTCGTGGTCAATAGTCTCGGTGGCCATCAGGAACTGCACCTGGTCAACACCGGTGGCCTCGTGGAGCTTTACTGCGTTGATGCAGCTTTCGGGGTCGCCAGCAACTATTACGCCGCGCTCGGCCAGGGTGTCCGAGTCCATCTCTTCCCAGATCTTCTGGGCCAGGGCGCTGCCGCCGGAAAGGTCGAACTGGCTGGCTGCTCCGTCCTCCGAGACTTCCTTGACGTCAATATAGCGGGAGAAGTTGTGGACCAGGTGTTCGGGGATGCCGCCCCACTGCTCCAGCAGGCGGGAGTAGATGTCCTTCTGGTCCTGAACGTAGGGGCGGCCCGGACCGAAGAAGGTCTTAAGCGAGTTGGTGCACAGCTCTCTGGCTTCGTGATTGTCCTCGCCGCAGTAGCCAAAAATGGAACTGAGCCACTGGTTGTTGGCGAAGGCGCCCACGGGATCGGCTTCCTTGATGGTGGCCCGGTAGTCCTGGATGTGCGGTTCCAGAATCGACGGAGCGCTGACTCCCAGGGCCATCACGCCTATGCCTTTTTGGGCTGCCAGTTGATAAGTAGTGGGTTGCAAAGCGGCCACCCAGATGGGCGGGTGGGGCTTCTGGTAGGGCTTGGGCAGCACCTGGCGGGGCGGGACGTTCCAAAAACGGCCATCCCACTCAAAATAATCCGACTCCCAGATCTTGGGAATCATGGACAGCGACTCGTCCCACATCTCGCGGGTGTCCCGGGGGTCAATGCCCATGCCGGTCTGTTCGTAGGGGGCGGAACGGCCGGTGCCGAAATCGACGCGGCCGTTGGACAAGTGGTCCACCATGGCAACGCGTTCCGCCACTCGGACTGGGTGATGATAGGGCAGGATGACCACACCGAAACCGAGCCTGATGTTCTTGGTAAGGCGGCTGAGGGCCCCGAAAATTACCTCGGGGCAAGGTGAAGAGGAGAAGGTGGTGAGGAAGTGGTGCTCCACGAACCACACGTAGTCGAACCCCATCTCGTCTGCCAAAACGCACTGCTCAATGGTTTCCTCTATAACCGCGTGGTCGTCCAACGCGGGCCGCTGCATTTCATAAGCCAGACCGAATTTCATGTCACACACTCCCCGGTTCGTTTAGATGGGCGAATTGGCGCAATTGTAACTGTGATAAATAAGTGGGGCAACCAATGGAAACCCCAGCCAACCAACCCCCAAACTTGACGCTCCGACTCTGCCCTACCATAATCTAGCCCACTAACCCGCTTTTCACGACGCTCTCAGCGTTTGGTAACCTCTCCCCCAAAAATCCATACAAATAGCGTATTTGCCAGGAGGAAACATGGCCCGAGTCACCGGAAGTCACCTTATCGCCAAAGCATTGAAGCTGGAAGGCGTTTTCAACATTTTTACCCTTGCTGGCGACCATGTGCTGCCGGTGCTGGATGTAATGGCTGACGACGATTTCCGCTTCATTGATACCCGCCACGAACAGGCGGCGGTCCACATGGCCGACGCCTACGGCCGTATTACCGGCCAGTTGGGTGTATGCATGTACACCACTCCCGGTTTCGCCAATGCCATTCCCGGGCTGACCAACGCCATGCACAGCGAAAGCCCCCTGCTGTCCATCGCCGGTTCCGCCGACCTGTCGGAACTTGGCCGGGGCGCCATGCAGGAGATCGATCAGGTGGGCATGGCGGCGGCAACCACCAAGGAATCCCTGATGATTTACGACGCCCACCGCATTCCCGACACCATTGCCCGGGCAGTGCGGCTGGCCTTCAGCGGCCGCCGGGGGCCGGTGCACCTTACTATTCCAACCGACGTGCAGGAACAGGAACTGGACGAAGATGAGGTGGTCCTCTTCAATCCCGATGAATACCGGGCCAGCGAGGCCATACTCGGTCCCCAGGCCCAGATAGAGCAGGCCATCGCTCTGTTGCGGGGGGCCCAGCGTCCCTTTGTCATCGCCGGTGAGGCCGCCGGTTACACCCAAGACGGCCAGGCGCTCATGGATTTCGCCGAAACCGCGAGGGTCCCCATTTTGACCGAGGGCCAGGCGAGAGGGCTGGTTGCCGACGATCATCCCTACGGCTTCGGTTTTTTCGAGCGGGGTTTGAATCGCGCCGCCACCATGTTGCGCAACGCTGACGTGGTTGTGCTGCTGGGACGCAAACAGGACTACACCATTGGCTTCTGCCGCCCGCCCAACATAGCCGCCGATGCCAAGATTATCCAGATTGACCCGTCTGCCGCCGAGATTGGCCGCAACCGGGGCGTCGCCGTGGGCATCGTAGGCGACGTGACCAGCGTGGTACAACAGTTAACTGCGGAAGCTTCCAAACACACCTGGCAGGATCTGCCTTGGCTGGAGGAACTGCGGGCTTCCCGCGCCGCCCAGGCCGAATGGGCCGAGGGACTGGCAGTGGCCGAAACCCCCATGCACGCCATGTTCGTCCACAAGACCCTGGAGTCCATGCTGCGACCCGATGACTTCCTGTCCTTTGACGGCGGCGACTACTGCCACTTCGGGCGGGCACTTTTGCCGGCCCAAATGCCCAAGAAGTGGTCCTACGTTTCCAGCTTGGGCATGCTGGGTTCCTCGCTGCCCTCCGCCTTGGCTGCGCAGGTTGCATACCCCGATTCCCGGGTCATCAACCTGACCGGCGACGGAGCCTTTGGTTTCAACGGCATGGAGTTTGACACGGCAGTACGCCACGGCCTGAACGTGGTAACCGTCCTGGGCAACGACTCGGCCTGGGGAATTGACCGGCAGATACAGCTGGGCCTTTACGGACGCCCGGTAGCCACCGACCTGCTCCAGACTCGCTACGACCTGGTGGTCCAGGGTCTGGGCGGCCACGGCGAGTTCGTGGAACGCCCCGAAGACTTGAAACCCGCCCTTGAACGGGCCTTCGCCGCCAACAAGCCGGCCCTGGTGAACGTGGTAGTAGACCGGGCCATCAGCCCCCGGGCGGAGGCGGCTATTGCACGGCGGCAAGTGGTAACGGGGTAGTGGGGAGGCTGCGTTCTGGTTGATAATGACGAGGGTAGCAAGTAAGGTCTCAACGTTTATTTGTCGTTAGAGGCCCTCCGACCCGCGCAATGAAACAAGGAGGCCCCCAAGATGCCCAACTCTCCTCACAGCATAAGCTTCGAGTCCTATCGCCCGGTGGTAATGGGGCGTAACGGGATGGTCTGTTCAGGGCATCCTTTGGCCTCACAGGCGGGCATCGCCATGTTGCAGAAGGGCGGTAATTTTGCCGACGCGGCCCTGGCTACTGCTGCGGCCCTCAACGTGGTCGAACCCCTCATGTCCGGCATGGGCGGCGACGGGTTTATCATGCTCTATCGCAAGGACACCGACCGGCTGGAGGTGTGCAACGGCACCGGCGCCGCTCCTTATGCCGCGACCCGGGACTTCTATATGCTCGACGGCATCCCCATGAAGGGCATCCTGTCCGTGTCCGTTCCGGGGCTGGTAAACAGTTGGCTGGACGTTCACGAAAAGCACGGTGTCCTGTCTCTGGCAGAATGCTTTGGCCCGGCCATAGACCTGGCGGCCAACGGCTTTCCGGTAACTCATGTGCTGTCCAGGGCCATTGCTTCCGATGCCTTGCTCTGCCAGTTCCCCACCTCGCAGTCCGTCTTTGCTCCTGGCGGGCGTCCCCTGCAACCCGGGGAGATCTGCTATCAGAAAGACTTGGCTCGGACCTTCCAGGCAATAATTGATGGTGGCCGCGAGGCCTTCTACAAGGGCGAAATCGCCAGTGCCATCGTCAAGTTCAGCGAGGAACAGGGAGGCATCCTGTCCATGCAGGACTTGGCCGACTGCCGGGCTCGCTGGCAGGACGCCATATCTACCACCTACCACGGCCATACCGTATATGAGGCGCCGCCCAATTCCAGCGGCCACATCCTGTTGCAGGAACTGAACCTGGTGGAGGAATTCGACCTGAAGAGCATGGGCTGCAACTCTGCCGAGAGCATCCACCTGATGGTCGAGGCCAAGAAGCTGGCATTTATCGACCGCGAGGCTTACGTGGCCGACCCAGAGTACGTCGACGTGCCCATCGAAGGTCTGCTCTCCAGGGAATACGCCAGGGAACGGGCCAAGTTGATTGATCTGGAGCAGGCCTCCTATGACGTCAAAGCGGGCAATCCCTGGCCCTACCAGGCGGCGCAACCCAAGTCACGTCCGGCCAAGGTAGGCGCTGGCCAGGAACAGGAGGACACCACCTGTTTCGTGGTGGTGGACGGCCAGGGCAACGCCATAAGCCAACTGCAGAGCATCCAGAGCGCCTGGGGGTCGAGCCTTATTGCCGGCGACACGGGCATTCTTCTTAACAACCGGATGACCTACTGGCACCTGGAAGAGAACCACGTGGATTGTCTGCAGCCAGGGAAGCGGGTCCGGCACACCATGAATCCGGCAATGGTTTTCCGCAACGCTGAGACGGCGGGCAACGGGGCCGGACGCCAATTGGCCTTGGTTCTCGGCACCCCCGGCGCCGACACCCAGGTGCAGACCAACCTCCAGGTCATCACCCACGTCCTGGACTTTGGCATGACGGTGGCCGAGGCGGTGGAAGCTCCCCGCTGGCGCAACACCCAGAACCCCACCGAGTCCAACTTCCCCCACACCTGCGCCGACGAACTGTTGGTGGAGTCTCGCTATGGCGCAGAAACATTGGAGGGACTGCGGCAGCGGGGCCACGTCCTCAACGTCCTGGGCGACTGGGAAGCCACCGGCAGCGAGATGATGATCCAGGTGGACCCGGAAACGGGCGCCCTCCACGGCGGCGCCGACCCCCGGCGCGACGGGTACGCGGTGGGTTACTAGACCGAACACCTAAGACTTGCCTGCGTTTGCAGCCGAAGAGAGAACAACCATGCGCATTCCCGGAAATAAGCGAAGCCAGGAACCCGACGATATCGGCAACCGCGCCGGCATTTTTGCCGAGGCGGTGCGTGACGGTGATATGAACCTGGCCTGGTCCATGCTTTCCAAGGAGACCCGGGGCATGCGCCTGGGTGTTTGGGCAACCCGCAACAATGTCGATATGCAGAACGCTTACCGGGCCGCCTACGACCAGGACCACAACATGCGTCCTTCCATGATGAAGGACTTCCGGGATACAGTGCTCCGCCTATGGCCCCTAGAGGATTTGACCGACCTGGGCGTGGCCCCCACCAACTTTATTGACGATACCCACGCCTTCGCTTTCCTGCCCTTTGGCGTAGTCGAGAATGAGAGCACCGTCGCTCACCGGCGAATGATGTCCGGCCTCGTTATTCCCATGCTGCTGGAGGACGGGCAATGGCAAGTCGACTTGCCGGGGTGGCGGTTCATGGATTCATAGCCATTGTTGCGCACCGCCTGACGGCCCCAAGAAGCGGGGCCCAGGAGAAACTCGCCCGGAGCAATTGATTGGCACGGCGGACTTCCCAAACTACCAAATCCCAGCCTCTGCCCACCCGTAACGTGGCAGTTGAATGCGACCTCTGCCAGCGGGAGGTGGACCGCTATACGGTCCATCACCTCGTGCCCAAGGCCAGGGGCGGAAGATTCGGGCCCACGGCCAACCTTTGCCCCACCTGTCATCGGCAGCTACACGCCCTCTTTACCGAGGCTACCCTGGCCGAGGAGCTCAATTCCATTGCCTTGCTGCGGGCCAACCCCCAGGTCAATAACTACCTTAAGTGGGTTCGCAAGCAAAAGAGCGCCGGTGGGTTCAAGGTGCGCCGGTCCAACAGCCGGAGATAGAGACCATCGATAAGGACTTCCTATGACCACGTTGCCAGCCACGGCGGAAGCGGTAGTAATCGGGGGCGGCGTAATGGGCGCCAGCATTCTCCGCAGTCTTGCGGAGAAGGGTATGACCAATACCCTGCTGCTGGAGCGGGACGTGCTTGGGTCCGGTTCCACCGGCCGGTCTTCCTCTGCTATTCGCATGCACTACTCCACCGAAGTCCACGCCCGCATGGCCTGGGAGAGCTTCAATGTATTCCGGAACTTCGGCGAAATTGTTGGTGGGGAGTGCGGCTACACGCAGACTGGGCACCTGATTTTTGCGGGGGAAGGGGACACCGAAACCTTCAAGGCAAACGTGGCGATGCAGCAAAGTGTGGGCATTGATACTCGGCTGGTGAGTAGAGAGGAAGCCCAGGAGCTTGCTCCGTCATTCTACCTGGATGATTGCGGAATTATCGCTTACGAACCGCTGTGTGGTTACGGGGACGCTTCGGCCACCTGCACTTCCTTCGCCCAGCGGGCCAGAGGCCTGGGCGCCCGAACAATTCTGCGCTGTCCAGCTTCCGACGTTGAAGTATCCGGCGGCAGGGTAACCGCCGTCCTCACTTCCGAGGGGCGAATCGCCACCGACTGGGCCGTGATTGCCACCGGGCCCTGGAGCCGCCGGTTTCTCCTGAAGCAGGGGATTGACCTGCCCCTGGAGGCCACCCGTCACGAGGTCGTCCACCTGCGCCGAGGCCCGGATGGTCCGGCTCAGCACCCTGGCGGCGGGGACATCATCAACCAGATCTATTTCCGGCCCGAGGGTTCCGACCTGGTCCTGGTGGGCAATGGGAACATGGAAGACGTCATCGAAGACCCGGAAATATTTGCCCAGCGGGCCAGCCCTGGCTTTATCCAGGAGATTTGGACTCGCCTGGCACGTCGCGTCCCGTCCCTGGCCGATGCTGAGTTCAGCACGGGTTATGCAGGTTTATACACATCTACTCCTGACTCCCATCCCATCATGGATGCGGTAGACGGGATAGACGGCTTGTATGTTTGCACCGGATTCAGCGGCCACGGGTTTAAGCTATCGCCCATGGTGGGGGTCCTGATGGCTGAGCTTATGCTGGACGGCAGGGCAACTTCCATTGACATAACCCCCTTGAGGATGTCCCGCTTTGCCGAGGGGCAATTGAATAATGACGGATACGGCTTCAAGGCAATGGTCTAAAATCATCGCCTGCCCTTGCTGCCGCTGCATTTGATGGGCCATCTCTTCGCGCCTGTCCCTATACCGCAGGCTCTCAGATTACCCCTATCTTCCTTCGTTACGTCAACAACCAACCAGGAATCAGGTATAATTCCCCTTTTACCCGGGAATAAATTCGAGGCTAACTGTGATTTCCAACAAAGCCAGGGTGGGCCGAGCGCTCTATTTGCTCAAGTTAGAACTGGATAGTTTCATCCCCAGGGAATTCGTGAGCCACCACGATGAAGAGGCGGCGACAGTCCTGAACCAGATTCTGGGGCAGTCGCGGGACTCTGAGAGACCCTTCCATAACATGAAGACCCAGGACCTGCTGGCGGTCATGCAGGCCTCCTGGTGGGACATTTTTGACCGGTCCCTGGGCGGCATCGAGCCCACCATCGTTCGGGAGGTGACACTCTCTCACGAGGCGTGGGCCAACCGCCACGACTTCGCGCCCGACGGTGCGTTCCAGGCATTGAATTCTATTCAAAAGCTGTTGGCGGCCATGTCCTCCCCCAGCACCTTGGAATTGGAAATGCTGAAGGTCGAAAGTCTGGAATCTGCGGTAGAAGCGCAAGAAGCCGAAGTTGTCGATGCCGCGATCGTCGAAGCAGGGCAACCGTCCGACGAACCGGTTCCGGAGGACTCCTCCACGGCAGATACTGAAGTAGTCAGCGCAGAAGTTCCGGAGAGCGGCTTCCCCGAATCCGCCACCGAGGAAGGGGGTGAGGAACCGACAGCAGAACCCTTTCTGAGAGACCTCGTCCGGTCGTTGCGAGAGGCTGGCGCCCTGCTGGATGGAGACTATATTGCCGAGGTCACCCGTGACAGTGTTCAATCCGAGTACGCCGCTGATTCCCTGTTGAAAGACTTGAACCCCGCGCTGGTGCAAGCCTTGGCTTCGTTGGGTTGCGACAGTCTTTATAACCACCAGGGTCGTGTCCTCTCCGAATTGCTGTCGGGTAACAATGTGGTGGTGCAGGCGGGTTGGGCGGCCGAGGAAACCCTGACCGGCGCGATACCGCTGGCGGAAACCCTGTTGCGGAACCCGGGGGGACATGCTCTGATTCTTTGCTCCGAAGAGGCAGCAGTCTTACAGGTCTCGGCCCGGTTGGAGAGTTTGCTATCCGGAGTCGGTATTCGGACCCTGACCTGCCTGGAGATGACAGCAAAGTTCGAACCGGAGACAAACGATGGAGTGCCATCCACTGCGGTGGTTACCACTCCCGACTTTGTTAACCGGTCCCTGTTGGGGCGGCAGCGGGAATGGCAAGGGTTTCTGAAAAATCTGCAGTTGGTTGTCATAGACCAGGGGCAAGAGTATCGGGGCTATTTCGGCGCCAGCGTGGCTGTCCTCCTTCGTCGCCTTGCCCATAGCCTAGCCATACAAGGAGCTGACCCGCAGTACTGCATGGTTGCCGCCGGTTGCTCCAATTGCTTTGAATTGGCCCAGAGCCTTACCGGCAAGTCTTTCGAGGTTGTGTCCGCTCTGAATGCAGCTTCCCCCAAGCGTCATTATCTGTTTGTGGATCCGGCGCCAGATGAATCCCGCGTCGATACTGACCTCCTTGACCGGGTGGGAAAAGCGGCGCTGGCCTGCGTCGAAACCGGTAAGTCAGTGGCCGTCTGCTGTCTTAGCGAGGAAATGGCCCGGAGGTGTTACTCCACTGCCGTGGAAATATGTCAGGCGAGAGGAGTGAATCCCGGCATTATGTCCCTGGCGAGTACCGGTGGGCCCGGTTCGGAAGAAGGCGGTGTTCCGTCGGCGTCGGAGCAGAATCCGGTTGGCGCGGTGTTTACCACGCTGACCCCGAACGGCGTAACCATGGCCGAAAACTGCGGAGGCTTAATCCTGGTTGGCTTCCCGGATACGCCGGGGGAAGCGTTGCGGGTATTGGAAAGCGTTGGACGCCAGGCTGAACCTGAGGCATTTGCAATCTTCTATTCGCTGGGTGATTCGGAGACCCGGTTTTTTGCCCATAATCTGACGGGACTGCTGGCCAAGGGGCCTGACCTGATAGGCGTTGACGCGGACATTTCTGAGGTTGTGCAGTTGCATGTCCCCCACCTGATTTCTGAGTCAGAAGGGCGGGTCTACTCATTCTCCAGGGAAGTGCTTGGGAACGCCCTGTTTCAGACGTTGCGACGGGAGGGGTCTGAACTGGCGTTTACGGAGGAGTTTGATCCTGACGAAATTGAGCTTCGACCCGGCACGGATAAGTGTTGGAGCCTCTGGAACGATGGTGAACAGATTGGCTTCCTTCCTTCGTATCAAGGGTTTAGGGAGGCTTATCCCGGCGCCATACTGGCCTTTCGGGACGTCAAGTATCGAGTATCTGAATCGCTAAGTGGCCATGAAGACGGCGCCTCGCCCAAAGTGGTCCTGGAATCCTTGGACGAGTTGGTCGGCCTTAGCACGCAACCGGAATTCGCCACCAGCCTCGCGATTCGGGATGATTCCCTGGGTCTGCCCCTGGCCACCGGACCGTCGCTGCACCTCGGGAACGTAACGCTGGAAGAACGTCTGGTTCAAATCTCGCTGGTTGACGAGTCGGCTGAACCTTCACTGGACGAGCAAGTGCCGGAGGAAAGGCGTATCAGAGGCCGGCTTATTGGAACTCACACTCCGGAAAATGACGTTTCTTGGCACTCCGATGCCCAGGCATTCTGGATAGACGTAGGGTCATTGCTGACTGGGGAAAGCGGGCCTCCGGCAGATAACGAGAGCGTTGTTGTCGATTCGATAGTACCGGCACTGGAGCAGATGCTCCGGGTGGGGGTAAGGTTCAGCTTCCCGGTGGGCCCCTACGACCTGATCACTTACTCCGAGGGCTCCAGGATTTTCCTGTTGGAGGCCGGGCCGGGCGCTTTGGGTGTAGTCAAAAAGGCTTTCGACCGCTGGAGGGACATCCTGGAGTTAGGGGCTAGTCTGGCCCGGCAATGCGAGTGCGAGAAGGGCTGCCCATACTGCATAGTGCCTCCGTTCTCTTACAACAAGAGCGTCGACAAGGTAGCAGCACTGGAACTGGCAGACCGACTGCTCGAGGCTACCCGGGAAACATGATCTGCGGCTTCGGGAGTGAAATCTGCATTCTGGGGAGCAAAACATGGCAACCCCATCAATCAACATTAACGCAACCCGCCTCAACCGCACCTTGGCCGAGCTGGGGCGCATGGGGGAGACGTCAGGCCATGGTTTGAGAGCGAGAGGGAGAGTTGATGCGCTGTGGCCTATTCGCCGTGTAGGGTCGGAAGGGAAAATATGCGCAGAGAATACTGAGCGGGAATATGCCATCAGCCTGATGCGCCAGGCCGGTCTGGAAACCCGAATCGATCCGGCCGGGAACATCATCGGCCGCAAGCCGGGATCAAACCCCAATCTGCCGGCCATTGCCCTGGGCTCTCACACCGACACGGTGCCCAACGGGGGCAAGTACGACGGCGCCCTGGGCGTCCTCGGAGCCATAGAGGTTGCCCAGACGCTGGCTGAAAACTCTCGCACCCTGCGGCACCCCTTGGAAGTGATAGTCTTCACCAACGAGGAAGGGACTCGGTTCCACCGCTGGCTCCTGGGCAGCAGGGCCATGGCCGGCCTGCTGGAACCGGAGGACTACACTGCTGTTGACGACGAAGGTGTTTCTCTGGAGCGGCGGCTTGTCGACATCGGAGGAGACCTGTCCCGAATCGACCGGGCCCGGCGCCATCGTGGCGAACTGGCCGCCTATTTCGAGCTGCACATCGAACAGGGCCCCACGTTGCACCAGACCGGTACTCCCTTGGGTGCCGTTACTGGCATTACAGGGCGGTATGTTTTCAGGGTCGAGGTGCAGGGCAAGGCTAACCATGCCGGCACCACGCCCATGGCAAGTCGCCACGACGCCCTGGCCGCCGCGTCCCACATTGTGCTGGCAACTCAGCGGCTCGCCTCGGAGGCGGAAATTTGCCGGGTGGCCACGGTGGGCAATATCAAGGCAATCCCCAACGCGGTTAACGTCGTGCCCGGGGAGATGTAAGTATGGGTGTGGAATTCCGGGACGTGGATGTTAACTCCCTGAATGCAGCCGAAACGACCTTGCGCCGCAATGCCGCGGAGATTGCTGATGCCAACCGGGTGTCCATTGTCATTAACCCGGTGGAAGCTACTGCGGCAGTGCCCTTGCCGGCACGGATGCAGGGACTGGTTGCCGAAGCCGCCGACCAGGCCGGTCTGTCTTACCAGTCGCTGCCCAGCGGGGCCGGTCACGACGCCCAGGCCATTGCCCAGATTACCGAGTCGGGCATGGTTTTCGTTCCCAGTGTGGACGGTATCAGCCATTCCCCGGATGAATTTAGCCTGCCGTCCGATTGCGCCAACGGAGCCCAGGCCTTGCTGAACATGCTGCTCATGGCCGACGCCCGCTTCTAGGGTTAATCCACTGAAAGACGCTGATCTGCCAATGGCAATCCACTGTTAGTTTATTGCTTAGGACTGCCGAGATTTATCCTGGAGGGATCCACGCATGGATATATCCGCTACCTACCTCTTCGATGCCCGGCCGAGAAGGTCTGGGCAACTCTCATGGATCCGCTGGCATTGGCCGCCTGCGTCCCCGGTTGCCAGAGCCTGGAACCAACGGGCGAAAACGAATACCAGGCGGTGGTCAACGTTGGGGTAGGGCCGGTGCGGGGTAACTTCACCGCCAAGGTAGCAATTACCGATATGAATCCCTTTGAATCCTACCGGCTATCCTTGAGTGGCAACAGCAACATCGGATTTGGTACCGGCGATTCTCTGGTTACTCTGGAAGAGCAGGACGGCAAGACCACGGTAAAGGTGGACAGCCGGGCCCAGGCTGGCGGCACGGTGGCCCGCGTGGGACAGCGCATGATGGAAAGTGTAGCCAGGGGCCTGCTGGATCGCTTCTTTTCCTGCCTACAAGAGACAGTCAATCGAGGATAGGGCCGGTTCTGAGAAGCAGGATGAACCTCTCTCTGACCGCTCCCACTCCCCGGCGAACGACTGGAAGAGCGTTACCTTGCGGTAGGCTTTTATCCCCATTACCCTGCCCCACCCTTTGGTTACTTCAGGAGAAAACAAAATGCCCCACCCTTACGAACTTTCCGTTGCGGAAGCCGTTAGCCTGATTAGTACTCGCGAGTTGTCGCCGGTAGAATTGGCCCAATCCCTCCTTGACCGCATTGAAGCCCTTGAGCCCGCCCTGAAGGCCTGGGTATACCTGGACCGGGCGGCGGTGCTGGCAGATGCCGAAGCCAGGGAACGGGAGACTGGAAACGGCGGCGCTCTGCAGGGCATACCCATAGGAGTCAAGGACATCTACTACACCGCGGGCATTCCTACGACGGCCTGCTCGCGGGTCTATGCCGACTTTGTTCCGGAACATGATGCAGCGCCGGTTGCGCTGCTCAAAGAGGCCGGGGCCATCATGCTTGGTAAAACGGTTACCACCGAGTTCGCCTGCATGGATCCTTCACCGACCGTCAATCCATGGAACGCCGCCCACACACCCGGTGGTTCCAGCAGTGGGTCGGCCGTGGCCGTAGCCGCCCGAATGTGTCCTGCGGCGCTGGGTTCGCAGACGGTGGGTTCGGTACTGCGCCCTGCCTCCTACAACGGTGTCGTGGGCTTCAAACCCAGCTACGGGACGAGTCAGCAGGCATGGAGTAATTCCGGTTAGTTGGTCCCTGGATACCATGGGCTGGATGACTCGAACCGTCGAGGACGCCGCCCTGCTGCTGCAGGCTATGGCCGGTCCCGATGAAAACGACCCGGTTACGGCGGACTATCTGGTCCCTGACTATGCCGGTGCCCTGGCAAATCCCGCCGCTCCCAGGATCGGTGTTATCCGCCAGTTCTTCTACGAGCACGCGGACGAAGAGACCCGGCAGCACACCGACAAGATTGTCGAGAGGCTGGCCGAGTCCGGCGCCGAGGTTGAGGAACTGCCGTTGCCATCCAGTATGGAAAGTGCTATCCAGGACCAGCAAATCATCATGGCAGTGGAGGGTTCCTCATTCCACGAACCCATGTACCGCAGGCAGGCCCAGGACTACCAGCCCGGCATCCGAGGAATGATCAAGAGAGGTCTGGACACCGATGCCGTCACCTACTCCCGTGCCATGGAACGGCGGCGGCTATTCATATCCGATACCCACAAGCTGGCACAAAGGGTGGACATACTGCTGACCCCTTCAATGCCGACGCCGTCCCTGCCCGACCTGACCAACACCGGCAATACCATGTTCCAAGGCCCCTGGACCTCCTGCGGGTTGCCTGCCATCACCGTTCCTTTCCGGGTTGGCTGCCTCGGGGCTGCCATTGGGCATTCAGCTAGTGGGGTCTTACTATGGGGAAGCCGGGTTGCTGTCGGCTGCCAGGTGGTGCGAAGAAGCATTAGGGGTTAGCCTGACACCTCAGATTTAGGGTGCGCCGGGCGATGAAGCTGCCGATTTGGTCCAATGCAGTGAATTGGCTTCAAAACCCTTGACATCGGTTAGGGGCCTGACTATACTAACCAAACGTCCCTTCCCGAGGGGCAAGGGATCAGAGCACTTTAACAGTTGAATAGTAGAAGGAAGTAAGGTTTTTCTATAAAGAGAGTTTGATCCTGGCTCAGGGTGAACGCTGGCGGCGCGCTTAATGCATGCAAGTCGAGCGTGTCCGTGGCTTCGGCCACAATGGAAAAGCGGCAGACGGCTGAGTAACGCGTGAGTAACTTGTCCTTTGGTGGGGTATAGCCTCGAGAAATTGGGGATAATCCCGCATATGACCCTTAAGCCCTGGTTTGGGGGTGAAAGCCTTCGGGCGCCAGAGGAGAGGCTCGCGTCCTATCAGGTTGTTGGTGAGGTAAAGGCTCACCAAGCCGATGACGGGTAGCTGGTCTGAGAGGATGACCAGCCAGAGGGGGACTGAGACACGGCCCCCACTCCTACGGGAGGCAGCAGCAGGGAATCTTGGGCAATGGGCGAAAGCCTGACCCAGCGACGTCGCGTGGGGGATGAAGGCCTTCGGGTCGTAAACCCCTTTTCCCAAGGAAGAGAAAGGACGGTACTTGGGGAATAAGCCCCGGCTAACTACGTGCCAGCAGCCGCGGTAATACGTAGGGGGCAAGCGTTACCCGGAATTACTGGGCGTAAAGAGCGCGTAGGCGGCTAGGTAAGTCTCTTGTGAAAGCTCCTGGCTTAACTGGGAGAGGTCAAGAGATACTATCTGGCTAGAGGGCAGTAGAGGAAGGCGGAATTCCCGGTGTAGCGGTGAAATGCGTAGATATCGGGAGGAACACCAGTGGCGAAGGCGGCCTTCTGGGCTGTGCCTGACGCTGAGGCGCGAGAGCGTGGGGAGCAAACAGGATTAGATACCCTGGTAGTCCACGCCCTAAACGATGGATGCTAGGTATGGGGGGTATCGACCCCTCCCGTGCCGAAGCTAACGCGATAAGCATCCCGCCTGGGGAGTACGGCCGCAAGGCTAAAACTCAAAGGAATTGACGGGGGCCCGCACAAGCGGTGGAGCGTGTGGTTTAATTCGATGCTAAGCGAAGAACCTTACCAAGGCTTGACATGTTGGTAGTAGAAACCCCGAAAGGGTAACGATCTCGGGGTAACTCGGGAAGCTTTCACAGGTGCTGCATGGCTGTCGTCAGCTCGTGCCGTGAGGTGTTGGGTTAAGTCCCGCAACGAGCGCAACCCTCGTCGCTAGTTACACTCTCTAGCGAGACAGCCTCCCACAAGGAGGAGGAAGGTGAGGATGACGTCAAGTCAGCATGGCCCTTATGCCTTGGGCTACACACACGCTACAATGGCCGGTACAATGGGCTGCAAAGGCGCGAGCCGGAGCCAATCCCACCAAAGCCGGCCCCAGTTGGGATTGCAGGCTGAAACCCGCCTGCATGAACGTGGAATCGCTAGTAACCGCAGGTCAGCACACTGCGGTGAATACGTTCCCGGGCCTTGTACACACCGCCCGTCACGTCATGGAAGCCGAGAACGATTGAAGTCGCTGAGCTAACCCGCAAGGGAGGCAGGTGCCGAGGTCGGGTTCGGTAACTGGGACGAAGTCGTAACAAGGTAGCTGTACCGGAAGGTGCGGCTGGATCACCTCCTTTTTAGGGAGTACAAAACCCCTACGGTTTTCCGGGGCTCTCGAGCCTGCGGATCGCGCGGGGGCCATCTCCCAGGTCGGTCGGTGAGTGGTCCGTGTCCCTAAGCTAGTTGGTAGAGCAATCTGCTCCCCGGCTAACAGGTTCGGTCCTTTAAACAACTCATTGATATCTGGGCCCACATGGGTGGGCCGAATCTCTCAACTTGAACTTCTCTTCCTTCTACTGTTCAGCCGTTAAGGCGCCGACTAAGAGGGCCGAACCGATAGGTTCGGCTTTTTTGTTTGGCTTTGTTCCCACACGGTGCTTTTTGGCCCTTTACCACCTTGTTCCCATACCTTCTCCCAGCTATAATTGCCCTATAAATTACATGGGGCGGCAGCTACTTAAATGCTTGAGATTGGCCCTGGTTTTTTGCCGCCTTATTTTCGGGAGGAATCGCCTTTGGGTGACCTTGCTTTGATTGCCGTGGAACCCCGCGATGAGGGGTTCGTCGCCTCGGTGCCAATCTTTCTGCTGGACCGGCTCGGTGACAAACCTGATGTATCTCTGCAGGTAGCTTGCGACGCTTACGGCAAGACCATTGGGGCCATGCGGGAAGTGATGGCCGATATTGACCAACTGAAGAGAAAGCGCATTCCCATTCCTGCTCGTAAAATGTGGGAGCTGGGGGACGCCGTAGTCGCTTTGAGCTCAAAGTTGGAGGAGGACTCCATGGAGGTGGAAGGCCTCAACGACCACCTCGTCCGTGACCTTGGGATAAACGGCAAGCGTATGGGCACCATCGTCACCTTTCGCCGCCATCTTCCGGACAAGGAGCTTATCCCGGAGAATCTGGGCTGGAGCCAGTGCGAGAAGCAAGCTCGCAAAGTGGCCGAGGAACTCAAGGCCGGCCAGTTCGTTTTTGGCTGAGGCTTCCAGTCACCTGTCTGATAGTTGTGCTTTTGCCACTACTGTGATCTTTTCGCCATGCAGATAAGAGACCTGGGTGAATTCGGCCTCATCGAACGGCTGAACAGCATGGTAACACGGGGTCGGCGTGGGCCAGACAACGGCGCCACTCACAATTTCCGGTTGCTGGTGGACACCGGCGATGATACGGCAGCCTGGACGGCGGCCGATGCCACCGAACTCTTCACCACCGATACCGTGGTTGAAGGCATCCACTTCACTCGCGAAACCACTCCCTGGCCCGACTTGGGGTGGAAATCCCTTGCTTCCAATATCAGCGACATTGCCGCCATGGGCGGCTTGCCCCTGTATGCCCTCATCACCCTTGGCCTGCCTCCAGAAACCGAGGTGGCTGATATCGAGGAGTTATACCGGGGGATGCTGGAAATTGGCGAGAAGTACGGCGTGGCCATAGTTGGCGGGGATATGGTTCGTTCTCCGGTGATATTTATTACGGTAGCCTTGACCGGTGTGCGAACTGGCTCCCCGATGCTGCGTACCACCGCCCGGGCGGGCGACCTGGTGGCGGTTACCGGTTTCCTGGGTTCCTCAGGCGGGGGCTTGAAGCTAATGCTGGAAGGACTGGCGGCGCCCGAGGATGCCGCCGCATTCCTGCGGGAAGCCCACCGGCACCCTCATCCGGCGGTAGCCGAGGGCCAAATGCTTTCTCAGTCCGGTGTATTGACGGCCATGGACGTGAGTGATGGCCTTGCTGATGACCTGTCGAAGTTGTGCCTGGCCAGTGGCCTCGCGGCCCGAATCTACGCCGATCAGGTTCCCGTGCATCCATACCTACGGCAGGCCTTTCCAGATGACTATCTCGAATCGGCCCTAAACGGCGGCGAAGACTACCTGCTCTTGTTTACGGCACCGGAGGAAACTGTGAAGGAAGTCCTGCCCAACCTGCCGGAAGGTGCGGCCTCCATTGGAGAAATAGTCGATGGACCGGCCGGTCAGGTTACGTTGGTTTCGCCCAATGGTGAAGAAACTGTGGTTAGCCGTGCCGGCTGGGACCACTTCGGGTAAGGGCAGTGGCAACTCCAATTCCCCGCAAGCTGCACTACCAGACCTCAACTCCTGAGGAGACCCAGGCCTTGGGTCGCATACTGGGAGAACAGACCAAGCCTGGCGATGTATACCTGCTCACCGGCCCTCTGGGCGCAGGCAAGACCTGCCTGACCCAGGGCATTGCCTGGGGCTTGGGGGTGGTCGAATACGCCCGCAGTCCCACCTTTGTTATAATGACGCGCTACCGCGGACGGCTGACCCTCTATCATTTTGACCTCTACCGGATAAACGATCCCTTGGAGGCCTGGGACCTGGGCCTGGACGAGCAGCTCTTTGGCGACGGGGCCTGCGTGGTTGAGTGGGCAGATCAGGCTGAAGAAATATTCCCGCCCGACTGTCTGTGGATAGACCTGGATTACGCCACCGACGGAGCGGGCCGCACCATCACAATTGACGAGGCGCCCCCTCGCTACCAGGCAATGCTGGATGCATTGGCGAGCTATTCGCAGAAGCAAATGGGGTAGGCCGTTACACTCGTGACCAAACTAACCCTTGCCCAATCGGGGGTTGATTTTATGGATTGTAGGGAAATCTGACCTGATGTTGCTGGCAATTGATACGTCGACACGCTACGCGGGGGTGGCCCTGGCCGAAAATGGGCGGGTGGTTTCCTCTCGCTCGTGGTGGTCGGCGATAAACCACACCGCGGAGTTGATGCCGGCCACATCGCAACTGCTCGGCGCAGCCGGTGTCGCGGTAAACGGCCTTGAAGGAATCGTCGTAGCCCTGGGGCCTGGAGGGTTCAGTGCCCTGCGGGTGGGCATGAGCGTCGCCAAGGGCCTGGCTTTGGCTTCGGGCAAGCCGCTGGTTGGAATAGGGACCCTGGATGCGGAAGCTCAGCCCTACTGGCAGTCCGGCTTGCCGGTTTGTGCCCTGCTGGACGCCGGGCGGAATGAGGTATCCTCGGCCCACTTTAATACCGACGGCCAGCGCACCAGGGAAGACCTGATTTGCCCCCCCGAAGATCTGATACCCACTTTAGCCGGGACAAACCTCTTCTGCGGGGAAGCGGTTCCCGCCCGAGCTTCCCTGATCCGTGAGCAATTGGGACAGCGGGCGGTTGTGGTGGACCACTCCCCGGCGGCCCGTTTGTGGGCTCTGGCTGAACTGGGCAGCAGGCGCCTGGAAGCGGGCGTCACCGACGACGTGGGAACCTTGCAGCCCTACTATCTGCGAATGCCCACCATCGGCGGCCCCAAGCGGCGGGACAGGGTGCGGCAATAAGCCCCGTATTGTCAATAATCGGAGGCTTGGGGTATCTGGTAAGGCTAAACAAACCTGTAGTGCTTATACATTGCATGGGTGTCCCTGTGATGTCCTGCCTG